ACGGGCCCCAAAACAAAAAACCCCCTCCCAAAAAAAAAAAAAAAAAAAAAAAAAGGCAGCAACTTATCACTTTTGGTGAATGATTTAATCTCTGGGTCTCTGGGAAGAAACTTTGATATGTTACTCTATCAGACTAACAAAAGGCTGAATTATGGGGGCAGAAACCACTACTGTTAGTATTTTAAAATATAATAGTAAGGGCACCAGCAGGTGGCATGGTGGTTAAATGTGTTAGACTCCCACATGGCTGACTGCAGTTTGAGTCCTGGACCTGGCAGCTTGTGTTCTCACTTTCTTTCTTTCTTTTTTTAAAAAGAATTATTTATTTAATTCTATTTATTGTTATTATTATTTTAAATTTGGCCAGAGAGAGATAGAGAGAGAAAGGGAAAGGGAGAAAGAAAGTTGCCAGGTCTAGGACTTGAACGGTGGTTAGCCATGTGGGAATCCAGTGCCTTTAACTACCATGCCACTCTCACTTTCTCTCTCTCTCTCTGTCCTTCTCTGATAAAATTAAAATAAATAAAAGTTAAATAAATAATTATTATAAAAAATGATAAAATAAGAAATATTCTGAAATTGTGCTTCACTTCATCCAATTCTATTTTAATATAATTTTTTGAATTTTTGTATATAAGATTAAAATGGATTCAACTTCTAAATGAGAAAAATGTGATTTTTATAGATGAATATTCTCATCGAGGTATCATTTGAATGTAATTGTTACATAGAAAATCTAATGAACTGATCATTTATAGCCTTCTAAGGGAATACTATGCAATATTATATAGACAAGTACTACTGGGTTGATGGAAAAGTCATGACACATTTTTTGCATAGAAAAACACATCGTGACTTTTCCGATGACCTAATATATACTTCCTTAACTCTGGTAACCATAAATACCACTATATTTTTAAAACATGAGAGGTTTTTAAAAGGTCCACGTGAAACTACTGGGAAACTTTTTGGACTTAAAAAAAAATACATGTTAAAGAAAAAGTCATTAGAACAAGTAAAGTTTCTCAGAATGTCAGAAAGTTCTTGCAAGCTATTTTTTTTTTTTGAGAGTTTTATTTATTTATTTATTATTTTTTTTGCTATAGGATGCATGAGCTCGCCAGACACAGAGAGAGAGACAGAGAGACAGAAAGCGAGAAATCACCCCCCAGGGGGGATGGTCATGCTGCAATCCCTTCTCCTCCATTCTCCTCTCAGGATCTTGGGCAAGCACGCACACGCGCTGGCGTGCGTGTTTTAAGCCACCGGGTCTGGGACGCGAACCGCAGTCAACTACATGGGAGTCCAGCGACATAGCCATTACGCCGACTGCTGGTCCCCATTGCAAGCTATCTTTCAGCGTGAGCAAATATCAATTACATGAGGAGTGTTCAGATATTCATTTTTCAAAAAAGGAAGCGACAGGAAAACACTAAGGTGAATTTGGTGAGTGCTATTAGGGGCTGACATAGTGAAGAGATGAGGGAAGCATCTCCTCGTAGCAGGCTCTGAAAGCAGGGAGCCTGGGTACTTCCCACCATGCATGCTAACTCCTGAAACATTATTTC